GGGCGCGGCCACTGCACTCCAGTCTGGGCGACAGAGTGAGACTCCAACTCAAAAAATAAAAAATAAAATAAATAAAATCTCTTTTCCAGCTCTTTCCAAACTGAAAGTCTGTTTCCTCTACCTGAAATGATCTTTACCTATCTTTTTATGTGGCTATCTCTTACCTTAACCAGTCTATCCACAAAGTATTCCTGTCTGTATGCTTGAGATCACCTGCGGAGGGTTAATTCCTTCATACAGGCACCTACCAGAGTTTGGAGTTATTTGTTTATTTTCTCATTTATTTTCTACATACTTTACTAGAATGTAAGTTCCATGAAGGCAGGGATGAGTTTTCTCATACTTGACTGTTTCAACAACATCTGATGTTTGGGTGTTCCTTGCCGTAGACACTCAATACAAATGTGCTAAATGCCAAAGGATAATCTTTTGTGATCTATCAAACCACCGTGATCTTTGGGATGAAGACTTAGGATGGGGAAGGAATATGGGATCTGAGTCGTCTCTAGCTGGATTCATCATTACAGAGTGTGTTCTGAGCTACAAGTGAAATGGGGGGTGCAAAGTGGACAGAACCAGTTGGAGATAGGAAAAGCAGGTCTCCAAACAAAGTTTGATTGACTAATAGTTTTGCCTATGTTAATAGTATGGAACTCACTTTTTTTCCTGAAAAATACTGCCTCAAGTTTGTTTGTAACTCCTGGGCCCTGCCAACAAACATACATTAAAAACCTACTATGTTTAAAGAACTTTTTTAGGTGGCTAAGATGATTGATAAGGCAAGTCCCTGAGGACTTCTACGAAAGGCGGGAAAGAAAGGGAAGCAAGACCAAATGGAGTTGTCTTGGAGGGTCTTGTGGGGAAGACGAGACACGAGCCAGGCACTGAAGCAATGGGAGGATTAGACCAGATGGAGGTGAGAGGTGTGATCAAAAGCATGGTGTCAGAAATGAGCTTAGTGTATTGGGGATTGTAAAAGACTTGTTGGCAGGAAGTAAACCTTGCAAATGATGTTGAAAAACTTGGATTTTATCCTGAATTCCAATTAGACTCCTAGGAGTTTATGAGGGAACCAGTGATGTATTAAAATTAGTGTTCTTAAAAGTGAGAGATGAAATGATGAAGATGGAAGAGGGAACCTATGCTGGAAAATGAGCTCATCGGTCTCCCACGACTGGCTATAATTTGGGCATTCCTGTCATGGGCACAGCCCTCCAGATGGAGGACACCAAGAGGAAGAGCCCACCTGCTGTGGGCTGTGAGGTCTAGTAGGTTTGATCCGTGTCAGACTTGGAGCAATTGAGAGTGATGGAGCATTTGTTTTTCTGATTTTATAAAATACTAATTAGTATAGCATTTTATTAATTTCAGCTCTTCTATATTAGCAGTTTAATGACTATCTTTGTTTATGAGGATTATGAGCAGTTTCTGTACCTTAAAGAACCTTCTGAATCATCAGGGACATATGAGATTGTGTTGACCAATAGTTCAGGTTAACTGTTTTTAAATATATGAGGGCAATTATAAGTTACATATGAGTTGTAATTTACTGCCTTTAAGTCATTTTCATATACATCATTTGATTGCTATTATTATGCTTTTGTAGTTGAGAAAAATATGAGTTTCAGGGAGGCTAAATGACTTGTCCAAGGTCTCTTGGCTAATGGGTAAGAAAGCCTGGACTGTAACCTATTTCTTTTATTTCAAGCCTTTTACATCTTGGGGAAATTTGGAAGCTAGTATGTAACATGTTTGATGAATCCTTATTAACCAGAATACTTAATCATTTTAGAACAAGCAATCTCAGTGAAGTGCAGGGATGAATTGTATCTGATATGGTAAAATGTGGTGAGTGTTCCGTAAGTACTCACTGACAGTAGTGACATCATTCACCATTCATTCAGTCCCAAAAGGAATGTATCTTACAATGTTCCTCAAATATTTTTAAATTAAATATTTTAAAATTAAATATTGACAATAATGTTCATGTTTCAGTCTCCCCTCATTGGGTCTTAAGCTCAATAACTCTCAGCTATGGAGCGTGGTTTTGTCAGTTTGATCTCATGGAATTTGCAGACAGCATCTATGTGCACAGTTACAGAATGATTCTGGCTGATAGAGGGAGGTCGGGTTTGCAGCAAGTGTGGCATGAAACGGACTGTTTGTTTTTTTCCACAGTCTGCTGATTCAACCTGCAAACCCATTCCCCAACTCCATTAGCAAAACCTATAAAAACACAGGGGCCACCATAAAGACAACTCTGACATTTGTAACCCGGAGAGTCTTTTGAGTTGAGAGAGCCCTGTTCTATACTTATTATTTGGAACTGGGTTTTTTTTTTTTTTTTGGTTTCAACACTTGTTTCTGGTTAGAAGGTGAAAAACAAAGGCCTAAACATTGCGCACTTGGATAGTAAAACACATGTTCACTTTTTGCAGTGACCCTGGAAACAGACGGGGGATTCTTATAAATCACAAAGGAAAATAAATAACTTCACCCATGGAGGGAAAGAGACAGCTCGAGAAAAGGGACTTTGGAAAAAGGCTGTCTCTAGACAGCAGTCTTGTGGTAAGTACTAAATATTCATTTACCACTCTATATGTTTTGGCTGAAAATGCATTATTCTTTGATTGTTATTTCCTGAGCCCCATGCTTTTGAAACCTCTATTCCAGTTATCCCATTAGCAATATCCCCTGGGATTTTATTTCATTTATTTTTTGCAAACTCAAAAGCCAGCAAATTATTGGAATGTTTGTATAGTGTCTTAATAGGCACATGTCATAATCTGTCAACATTATATATAATTACATTAATTCCAGTGAAGTTGACTTTAGCTTATACAGAAACACTACTGTACAGCAGATGCCAAATGCTAAGCCTATATATAGTTGTTCCATCCTCCATTTATCTGAACTTTGGGGTAAGTTGAACAAGAACTCAGTGCAGCTCAAATTCTGAAGAGTCAAGAAGTCTCTGAGATCTTCTTTGGTATGTAAATTAGCTCTCTTGTCCATAAACTTTCTTTCTATCTGAGTTTTAATGCAGATACACATCATTCTTAACATCCTTGCTTTATTTGTTATAAGAATCTGGTTGGTCTAATGAAACAGACTAAGTCATTGATTTCTGAAGGTTGGCTACTCTTTCACGTCTCCGGGCTAATGTGTGGGTCACCTCTTCTGTTAAGTAGTACAGGTGAGCAGAACAAGAAATAAAATCAAGCCAGTCACTCATTTCTCTTTTGCTCATCTAGTAAACTAGAGTGTTAGCTTGGTTCCTTCTTTTGCATGTTCTGTAGGGATGTACCTTATTCATGATAGTCTTGCTCTGACATGCACAGATTAGCTATTGACCCCATAATGGCTGAGGCTTCACTTCACAAACTATTCATACATGTGAGTTTCTGAGAATTGAGGAAAGGATTGCATTAAACTTTCATGTCAAGTTCTTCTCCTGTTATTATTAATCAACATCTGTGTCTATATATGGGCTGTGCATTGACCAACATACCTTCAGATGCTAAAAATTTTGGTAGTATTTTAAGTTCTCCTTCCCATAGATGTGACCCCCATCTTGCCGTCTCCAGGTAAAATGTGGTGAAAATGGTGTGTGTGTTTGTGTGTGTTGACTTTGGGGGAAACTCGGAATAAAGAGATAATTTCTTAGCCTTTCCATTGCAGAACAAAAGCACTTCTTACATATCAACATGCCAAAAAGGTCTGTTTTAGTCTTAGTCAAGGGACAGAGACAGCCATATGGTATGATGTGAGCAGCTCAAGAAAGAGTCTGTTAACCTAGAAATGTTATCCTTATTGGTTGGTCCCCAAAGTCATAGATTTCTGCCTTAGGTCTCAATAATATGCAAATACCATATAAAAGCAAACATAATAAACCATTGTCTTTCAATAATTCATAGTAGCAATCATTAATGAAAAGCCTTGGATCATTTCCAAATGTCAACCGGATAAGCAGAATTTCATCGAAGGAATTGGTAAACAGAAGGAGGCAGCACACAGAACATTAAGATGCAGGGCTGGATAGGACAAGGCAGGAGAAGGAGACGTGGGTTACCAGGAGGGTACTGGGTACCTGAAAATCAGAGAAAGGAAATAGTGTCAATGAAACCTGTGCCCACATGTAGATTTTGCCTAGAGACAGCTTCGATATGGGTATAAATAAAATCCTGTCACATTACCAGTGCTAGCTAAAAACCCAAAACCAAGTTTGCATTCCTCTTGGCATATGACTATACCCTGAGACTTGGGGTGCCGTTAATCTGTTTCTTGACTAGTTGGCATAGAAGAATACTGTGAAAATGAGAACTTGTTGCTTGGCACTACCTGAGAAACTTCACCCCATCAGATCTCCCTATAATCATGCCTAGGAGAGTTTTTACACTAGTGAAATATCTTTCTTGTTTCCTAGAGGCCAATTGTTGCATCTGCATGCCCAGATGGGAAAATTCTGAGAAAGGATGTCCTCTTCTGTGACAATATGTGTGTGGGTGCTTACATGCTGTTCAACACCATAGTGCTTAGGCCAAGTGACTACAATCTTGCCCTCGGTTTTAGTATTTTGCTCTCTCCTTCAAATAAAATGCTACTGCTGGGATGGTAACGGCAAGAGTATTCTTTTTGAGTTGATTTTTTGGTAGTGGAAACCATTGAAACCACCTTAAATAAATTTCAGTTGCCAGAAAGAGAGCTAGACCGGAGTTGAGATCAAAGGTGACTGGCATGAAAAGAACTTGAACCGAAGACATTGTCTTCCTCTTTAGCTGTATGCTGAAATCACACAAATAAATAGGTAAGAAACAGGTGGCAGTGATTCTAGATAAGAGCTTCTGTGAAATAAAAGAGAAAAAAAAAAACCCTGACATCACATTACATTCTTTATTCCCAAGGCATGCTTTCTATTTTATTTTTTAAATCACACAATGCTAAAATGAAATGGCTTATCCAGTCCTTTCACTCTGCAGAAGGAATAGGTAAGGCCCAGAGAGGTTAACTGCTTTTCCCGAGTTCACACAACTAGGATTACACCAAGAGTAGAACACAGGTCTTCTACCTGTCACTTCTATTTTTTATCTTTCATTATATACTGTCCCAAAGAGACAAGATGCCCTTTTGGGAAACTGAACAGAGGAAAGAAAAACATATTAACTTCTTAAGTCTTGAAATTCCATTGCAGTAATCATCATGACCCATATTTTTGAGAGTTAGGGGACCCAAAGGTAATTTTCACTTTCAGATTTTATGGGAAAAATTCCTCGTAATGTACTGCAAGAATAAGGTACTATTAACTTCATTACACTTTTTATTTTATATAATCAAATCATTGAAGTGTTGAGTAGAAATTATAGTTCCCTTGCAATGGCTTTTAACTTTTTAGGTTGGAGGAATCACAGAATAAAGAAACTCACAGTCCAAATACTGAAAAAAAGTTTTCATTGGAGGAAGCAAGTTCGTGGTCCTTAGTCACATGGCATGGGATAGGGGTTGAGTGTGTGTGTGTGTGTGTGTGTGTGTTTGTGTGTGTGTGTAGAGGTGTACATATTCACGTGCACACATGTGTACCCTGGTAATTCACTGAAATATTTTTTGATGCTGATAAGTTTTTACTTTTTAAATCACCCTTTTTAAGGAGAAAGTGACAGGTAAGTGAAACAGAGGTGAAAAATATGTTTCAATGGGGGAATAAAGACCTGAAAGGTCAACGAGTGACTCCAAGTTTTCCTCCACCCGTAAGAATGTGTCGAGTAGCCATGTATTCACAGCAAGTGCAGTCTCCTCTCTGATAACAATAAAAATCACCCCAGAAATCAAGGCCGCTTCTTGACCCCAAACTGTTCAGCCCTCCTCAGGATGCTTTTTGATCAGAAAAAGTCATCATTTCACACTGTGCTTTTTTATTTGCCAGGCTCATTCCTAGGCTGCTACGTATAGCCATTTGACACTTGTAGCTGTGATAGCATTTTGCTGATGAGCACGCTGGTGGGAAAGTTATCTTTTTTGCCAGTTTACATTTCAATAGCAAACATTCTCTTTTAATTTGGGGAGGAAATAATTTTGGCTTTTAAGCACAGACGAAAATAGTAGTTTCTCCTAAGAGTTGTTGTTAGTACCCTCTTTCCTTTCTCCTCCACCAAAAGAAGACAAAATGTTGGCCATGCTGGAGCCTCAGTTCTGACAGCAATACAATTTTGACAGACTTGCAGGGGCAAAAATATACTTACACATGTCCTTCGATCCATTCTTCATCCTCTTGACTGTCTGGATCCAAATCATCATGGTAACCAGGCCTTCTACCACATGCATTGCACAAAGTCAATCAACAAGCATCACTGAAAATCAGTTAAGGAGATGTGCTGGATGGTTTTCATTTTTCCCTCCACATCCATTTCTCATCCCTTTCTACCTTATTCTGCACCCCTGGAAGATGTAGCACATTGCCCTTGCCATCTGGCATCTAGTTGGCTTGGGCCAATGGGAGGAACTAGCAGGAAATCAAAGCCTGGGGTATTTATTTTTCTGCTCTTTTGCCAACTGGGCCCTTCTGCCTAGAGTGTAGCTTTTGTTGGAAAACCCCCTCCTACAACCTCAGCTACATTTGTCACTACAGCTCTCTCCATGCACTGGCACCTTCTCTCTCCCCATGCCCCTTCAGGCTTCTGGGTGGCCGCTCGTCTTTCTCTTACTGGTTTGCCTTAGCTCTGCTCACAGTTTCATAAATAATTTCTCAACCAAACTTTCCATGGTTAGATGATGTGAGTGTGCCATCTCTTTCCTGTAGGGTTTCGCTGCTCCCCTGTATACAAGGAGATGCACTTCCTCAAGTGTTTCTAGCTTATCTGTGGAAGCTGTCCAAATAGGCAGGAAAAATTACATAGCATAGAGGTCAGTGGTGTGGCACTGACAGTAGTAGGCACTGAGATCACCCTACGAGGATGTGAGGAAGTGCCATGGAGTTGTGGAAGTTAGAGCTGTGCATTAAAGTAAATGAAGATAATTTGGTCATCAAGGACAGATATTAGAGAAGGAAGATGTGGCCCAAGGATATTGTCCTGCACTCTTTGGTGCCAACTCATGTCATTACTGATTTTTTTTTCCTCCCAGGGAGACTTCTTTCTCACATTGAATTTAAACCTCTGCTGTTTTATCTTCAGTCATTCCCCCCTGCTTAGTGACTAGAAGTAATTCTGAAGCAGAGGTCAGCAAACTTTTCCTGTAAGGGTCCAGACAGTAAATATTTCAGGTTTTGCAGGCCACACAAGTAGTTGTAGCTACTCAACTCTGCTGTTGTGGGAAAGCAGCCCCAGAGGACACATGGGTAAATGGGAATGGCTATATTCCAATAAAACTTTATAAAATGTGGCACATATATGCAATGGAATATTATGCAGCCATAAAGAAGGGCAAAAATATAGACTGCGCAGCAACTTGGATGGATTTAGAGTTGAGCATACTCAGTGATCTATCACAAAAACAAAGAAGAAAGTACCATATGTTCTCACTCATAAGCAGACCTTGAACAATTATCATAATACTATAAGAAAGGGATTGGCAGT